TTGTTTGATGATATTTTATGACAAATCTTTGCATAATATCAAATGTGTTTCTTTTCTCAATTGGAAGTTTAGTAATATAGGAGTGGTAAAGTATATGTGATTGATGTACAAGGTGAACATGCAGCTACAATTGCAAACGGTGATTGGACATATGCTTTGGCTTTGGATCCATGTGCCGGTTTTGTTTTCTGGTCTGATAGTGGCTATAAAATAACTGGCGGTAAGCTATTTTGGTTTTTCTCTTTTCATGTTTTGATAAATAATTTTTGGAATGAATTTGATTTATACAGAAATATGTAAATTTTTCTTCAGTTCAACATTTTATTTTTTTCCATTCTTATTCAATCCATCTTTCTTTAATTTTTTCTTATTGTAATCTTGAATTAATTTCAAGATTGAATCTTGAATTAATTTCAAGATTGAATCTTGAAATTAACGTTTTTATAATTTTTTATAGTGATTTTTATCTCCATGAAAAAACAATCTCGTTATTAATTGCATTCAGTGGTTTTGTTTTACTTTAGAGACGATAATTTCTATAATTAATTACTGATAATATTGGTTATAATAAAAATAAAATAATTTCGCAATCTGCAAATTAAATTTCATTATTTCAGTTATATGCTTACAGTGGTGTGAGTTTTTATTTTTGAAAATACGTAGTTATTTTATTGTTGCAGGAATATATGAGCCACGAATTGAACGTGCTAATATGGCAGGTGGCAATCGGCGTGTAATTCTAAAGGAAGGGATAAGCTTGCCTGCGGCATTGACCATTGATTTTCGAGAACAGCGACTCTATTGGGCTGATATCAACAAGTAATAATTTATTATGCTTGTTTTATTCGGTTATTAAAAATTGGTATTTTGATTTTTGAAGTTTGCTGATCAAATGAATTAAATAAAATTTACTAAACAAGCAAAGTAGGAAAGAAAGGATTTTTAAAAAAATAGCAGTAATTTTTTTGTAGATTAATTATTGAATCATCGGATTATGATGGTACGAATCGACGTGCAATTGGTGTTGGTTATCGTGCTAAAAGTCTCGATATATGGGGTCAATGGTTATATATGAGTGACCCGCTAGCCAATGGAGTATTTCGCATGAATAAAGTGATATTTATTTGTTATAGCTTATTCATATATTATTTTTTTTCTAAATAATGTTGGTATAAATAATGTCTATCATTTTAAGAATTCTGGTATCGATTATCAGAATGTCGTATCAGATCGACGGATTCCATCTACATTACGAGTGATTGCTTCGGAAGCGGATACACGAACTCGTAATCAATTCTGCAGTACATATATATCAGGCTTATGCAAAAAAGACAATGGTGGCTGTGAACAGGTAATGAACAGGTTCATTGTATATGCCAGATTTGCATACAGTCGATAATCACTAGCAAATTATTTAAAACGAAATTATCATATCACATTTCAAAGAAATTCTTTGTTGTCAACATTTCATTATCTGTTCATACCAATTACCAATACCATATTTGTGACGTGATAGTACAGGTAGAAAAATAAATTCATCGATTTCAGCTTTGTCACGTAATAGCATCGGATAGCGAAGTGACAGCTTCAAAGGTGCAATGCGCTTGCAATGATTCGTTCGAACTTGTCACTGAACCTGGAAAGGATATTCCTACTCAATGTGTACCACGGGAAGCTGTTCAAGTTTGTTTTTAAATTAATTGATTGAATTCGAAAAAATTTTTTTGTAATCATGGAAAATATTAGACTTTTAATTTTTTAAATGAAGAAAATTATAGTTTATCTAATAAACGTATGTGAAAAATGAATGAAAATAAGAGTGTATTGTTATCTCATTTTGTCAAGATTCTATTCCTATCATGATAATATCATTTACTTTTATATAACTGTGCTATGTTGAAGACTTGTCAAGCACCGTATAACTTCCAATGTAGTGATGGTGCTTGTATATCACTTAGTGCAACATGTAATGGTCAACAAGATTGTGCAGATGGTTCAGATGAGCATCCAACGTATTGCAGTAAGTTGTATTTAAGTTTACTATATTTATATTGTATTTAAATTAAAAAAAATTGTGCCTTACATATTTTGCTATGTACAGCTCTTTTAATAAATTTTCAATTTAAAATGAACACATTCTATTAATAAATCTTCAATTTAAAATGAACATTTAGATAATCGATTAATAAATTTTCAATTTAAAATATTTAGATACTCGTGTATGTCCGGAACAGTATTTCCTATGCAATAATCGACGTTGTATCGAGGCTAATCGCCGCTGCAACAGCATTGATGATTGTGGCGATAATTCAGATGAACTTGATTGTGCCGTTAACTCATCCACTTGTCCAGCTGGACATTTCGAATGCTCTAATAAACATTGCATCAACAATACCAAAGTATGCATACAGTAT